TTCAAAATGGTTAGAATAGATATATAGTTACATTCTCTTCATGAATAGAGGGATTTGTTCTAATAGTGTCTGTAAATAGAATATCAAGTCCGCATCTTGTACGGCAAATAACCACTAGGAAGAACGTATGCAACGTGTTAATTACTGAAACTGTCCTACCAATTTGATTTGAAACTGTCTCATTGCTATTTGTTTCTCAATAAAATTATGGGAAAAAAATGTTTACTTCTGAATCTTGTCACATTTCCCTGTTTACCTCTTTAAAGGAAACCAATAAACAGTATTTTAACTATATTACAGTTTCCTTTAAAGACATGTTTTAAATTTCTAATATTAAATGATTATTGATAATAAGGGAAGCCCTAATTTATGCAAAACATCCCTCTTCAAAAAATCTCTCTTGGGCTGGTAAATAGCTCAGTGGTTTAAAGTGCCTGCTTAGACAAGCTTAGGCAAGCTCAGGGACCGGGGTTTGATCCCTGACACCACATGCCATGCCAGCCCTGCCCCGTGGGCAGGCTGAGCTGGGCACAAAAAAATCTCTCTCTCATCTTTACCAAAGGCAATATGGTACAGATAACTTCAGGAGAAAAGTAACCTTAAAATAAGGTTATTAGATCAAATGCTATTCTATTTTCAGTAATTATAAAAGATAAATTGTAAAACATTTTAATAACATTCTTGAATAACTAAAACTATTATGTGCTGCCATACAATGTATACAATTTATCACATTTGTTTATACTCACTCTTTTAGGTTATCATACGCTTCTTCTAAAAGTGCTTTTTCTTTACTAAGAGTTAGTAATTGAGCCTCCCTTTTCTCCAGTTTCTCATTCAGAAATTCAACTGTCTGGATAAAGAGAATACACAAGTCAAAACATGTACCTTTTAAAATGATCATTTGTGCATGTAAGTGGTAAGCTGTAAAGATAACCCAATTACTATATTAAAAATAACATTACCTCATAAAAACAATTAAGGAGTATTGGTGCCACAGTGGACAGAACAAGAAGAATTCTAACACAGCTAGTGGGAGAATACAAATTAGAACAACCACTTAGCAGGTGGGAGCAGAAATGTACCACTTGAAAAACAAACAATATCTAACTGCAGGTCTCTGTGTCCTTTGAGGTAGGAAAAGCCCACTTCTTGGTAGCTTGTCTGGCAACAGCAAAAATCTGAGTCAGTCTTCAAATTCAACAGAACAAAAAAGTAGATAGAAGTAACCAAAAAAGGTCAAAGAGGATGTCAAAGAGTTTCTGTTTTCCACATTAATTTTTTAACCTAAATATGTAATTTTCTAATGTGACATAATTTTTATCTGAGTTAAGTGTAGGGTAACTGAAAAAAACCATTTACCTTAAGTAAACTTAAAATGTTCAAAAGTATTTTACTAATAGTCACTAGTATTGGTTTCTAGTAATTTAAAGCACTATTATATATTTTATGGTACTACTAATTGAAGTAATACTGCATGACATTTTGTTCCTGTGTAATACTGAACTTAGTTATCAGAATATGGTCCTTTTAAAAAAAATATTAGAATTGTGGGACTGTCCTGCTTCAAGGTTGTATATGATGAGATTTTTGGACTTAAGTGCAAACATGAGAAGCATAGAATTCTTTATCCTATTTTTAAAATATAATCTAATTTTTAAATTTTTTTTATCATATTATGTAGGGACTTAAAGTTCAACATATCAATACTTGATGAAAAATACCTGTTCCTTATTATGCC